CGAAATAAGACACAAAAATATACTTACATAACTTTTATTCGACGGTTTTAGATTTTTGACCGCAATTTTGGAAATATGGTCCCAATAGTGTGGTCAGGAGAGCGTTCGAAAATTTGGAACCTTTAATGTTAATTTTAGTTTTTGCGTATTTCACCATAACTTGAGGACTTTTTAAGCACATTGAAAATTTTTTGCACACAATTATAAAATTCGAATTTTAAATATGTGACTTCTAAAGAACTATTCAAAGCATTTAATTTTGCATTTTGTAATGCAAAATTAAATGCTTTAAAATGATATAAAAAATTTTATAGCTTACAATACAAAATGTTCTCGATTCTTATAATAAAGTAGTATAAATATTTACTAAAATTTATTTTTCGTATGGAATATCTTTGGACAAACGAATTTTATAATAGTTAGCAAAAAATTTTTCAATTTGTTTATAATTTTCTCGATACGTGGCAAAATATGCAAAAAGTGAAATTAACATGGGGTCCAAACTTTGGATCCCTCTTCTGATCAAACTGTGAAAACCATAGACCCAGATAGCGGAATTGAAAAATTTTTGCTTACAATTATAAAATTCGTTTATAACAAAATAAGGTACACGATTTTTTTTACATCATTCAAAACATCAAAATTTTACATGGCAAAATACAAAATTTGAGTGAAATCGGATGAATAGTTCCTGAGAATTTAAAAAAAAAAAAGCGTATTTCTGAAATTCGATTTCTCGGGAAATATCCGAATCCGTTCCAGGAACTACGAGAAAAAATGGTATGCTTATTCAAAGAAAGTGCATTTTTGTGTCTGATTTCGTAGCTTAAATTTTTTAATTAATTTTAAAATTAATTAGCTTATTGAATTTCACCCCTAAAACCATTACGATTGAATACTAGAACGTGAAGATCCAATCATTAGATCAAAAGTTATATACAGGGAGATCCATTTTTTATTTTGTACAAATTAAATGTTTCGTGACTGTGCATTTTGTTGCTTATACATAAAAATTCATTTTATTTGATCATATTCCATCTCCCACATTCGAATTCCTAATTTTACTTTCAGATACTTAAAATTTTAAACTTTCAATTTATTTTGACGAATGATGTAAAAAAAAGTGTTCAATCGCGTCAAAGAGGAAAAAGTAAGAAACTACAATTAAAGAGTCTTAGCACTCTTTAAATGTTACTGTGCGTCAATATTGAAAAAAACAATCCTTATTCATACAATATATGGCAAAGAGATATGCTCTGTTTTACAAACATAATCTAATTTAAAAGTTCATAAAAAAAAATTTTTGAAGGTCATTCAGTGTTGATCAACATTATTCGAACCTTTTCGTATTAATTGAATATGAATATACGCACATTAGACGTCACTATGTTTTGATATTTTTTATTTATTATTTTTTTATGTTATGGTATTTCATTCACTTGTGTAATACTGGAAGGTAGAAATGTATTGATGACTTTCCGGTTCATGTCCTTCGAATAAGAAAGTCATTATTAGTTATATTTAATCTTATAGTCAAGGTTAAATTCATTATTTCCTGTTTTAATGCAACTTGTTAAATGATTTATACTTAACGCCAAAAATAACAAAAGTAATGTTGTATATGTCAAGGTTGATTACAGAAATTTCATCATATTAAATAATGAATCACGAAATAAAAATTAAACTTCACGTTAAAAAAAAACTCTCATTTAATCATATAACTAATCCATTATTGTCCGACAGCAAATTTTGCTTTGTAAAATATAGAACTCGATCTTAATGGTTCAAGAGAGTAACCTCGAATGTGCTAAATAGTTTAGAGCTGACGCTATTTTAAGATACGAAATCAGGCACAAAAGCGTACTTTCTCTAAATAAACATTTTTTTTAGGCAGATTTAGATTTCCGACCCTCAAAATATAGGGGTTGCCACAATCTGAGGAATATGGTCACCATAGTGCGGTTAGGAGAGCGGTCGAAAGTTTGGACCCTTTGATGCTAATTTTACTTTTTTGCGTATTTCGCTATAAATCGAAAACTTTTCAAGCTAACTGAAAAATTTTTACCCACAATTATACAATTTGCTTATCCTAAGATAATCCCATGCAAAAAATAATTTTTAATAATTATTTATTATTTTACTTAATAATAATCGAAAAAATTTTGAAATAAAGAGCACAAATTTTTACACCAATTTTAAAAATATAATTTTGTGTTGTAAAATAGAAAGCTTGAACGAAATCCGTTAAATGATTCCTGAGAAAAGGAATTTTAAATATCTGACTTTTTGAAAATTCGATTTAAATTATTGCAATCTTATTTTCCAGATCGCGGCTACAGCTTATCAAATCCGTCGTCGTAAAAGGTATAATTATTCAAAAAGAAAAGTGTGTTTTGTGCCTGATCTCGGAACTTAATCAATAATCATTGCATATCTTAAGTTGGTCTCTTAAATCATGAAAACTGCATTTTAGAGAAGAAAAATCTGGTTATTGAGTCAAATAGTCAGAATTTATTCATTTTCCAAACTTTTATTCATAACGCACTATGCATACAGGATTAATTATACAAAGAGACATAAACTTGATGTGATGGAACATGCAGTCGATGCTAAAACATGCCCATGTAGCTAAACAACGTGAGGTTACAAGCGTAATGGGTGGCCTCTACAGGAGCATGTTCATCGATGAATTAAGCAAAAGCATGGATTACCAGAAAAACCATTTAGCTAGAGTTAACTAAATTTTTATAATATAATTCAAATTATATTCTTAACTAAGCTCCAAAGTTTATAAGGAAATATTTTGATAAATATTTACCCAGATTTTACAATTTGAAGAACAAAAAAATTAACAAGTGAAAATCAAATTTTTTCTTTATACTAAATTTTTTCTAAATTTTTCTTTACAATGAATTATTATAATAATTGTAATTATTTGTTGCTCAACAGATTTATTTTCAGCTTTGATTTATGGCATAAAAAGTTACATTAACAGAGGGAAAAATTTTCGGTTAATATAAGTTACATGGTTTACTGTGCTTTTGCTCAATTCACTAACAAAGAGCCCCCGTAATAATTGTCCATTGATTTATTAACCCCATATTTTTTTGAGAAACGTAATTATTTCGTTATCTTCCTTATAGATTATACCTCTATTAATGAGACACTTTATTTACAAGTCATTATATCTTAAGGCGTATTGATTTCTGAATAATTTGACATTTACATGTAAAGCCTTTAATTAATTCTTTAGCTGAAACTTTGCTAGTTTAAGTTTTATTGGTCGAACTTTTCTTAAATTTAATCTTGTCTGTCTCGAAAAAGTTTTCTAACAATGTATCACAAAGACTCACCTCCCAATTTGAATATTTCAAAATAAAGCCATGGCATTTTCGAATCAGTTAATGAAGATTTTTCTAGTAAAATTTCGTGTCATTCAAATTAAAATAATTCATTTTTTCTTCCATCCGAAGTTTTTAGAGACATTTTTGAACTATTTAAGGAAATGAATAAAAGATATAAAAATACATCTAATGCGATTTTCGGAATTGAGCGATACATAATGTTATATAAAATATTATTGGAAGAAGATTTGCACGATTCAAACGTTTAGAGTCAGTAGCTCTTAATTTTACCTCGCACTTTTCAAAACACATTTAATAATGACTTAACACTTCTTCATATATTCAAACCACTATCCCTCTTATTATTCACATTCAATGGAGCAGCATATAGATTCTTATTTAGAGCACAAAGCGAATTCATACACGTGTTTCTTATCTTAACGTTCGAAAAGAATGTTAATTGCGTCAACAAACTGTGGAGCCAGTTTTAGCTATAATAAGATTATTAAAAGAAGAGTTCTATTTTAAAGAAGAGAGGCAACCATAAATGTTTAGTGAAGGAATTTTTCAAACAGAAGTTAAGGATATGATTCAAGTTCATTTTAAAGCATTTAAATAACCCTGGTAACATATAATATTTGATCACGTAAACAATTTAATGTTTAATATAACTATTTTTATTTCCCCTATGAAGTATTGGAGTATAATGCCTATAAAGAACACTATATAATTTAGAAAAAAAAAAGAATACTTCTAATCATAGTTTATACATTAACAAAGAATAATGTTTGAAAATTTAATTAATCCTTTGACGCAGATAGGACACCGGTGTCACTTCTATATATATATTTTTTCCTGACGCTCTAATCACAATCAAAAATATATTTTGTATTTTTAATTATTAAAAAAAAACCAGTCTAATAGTTACTAAAAATAGCTGTTAGATTATCGGAATCATATTTGTACTAAAATGTAAAATAAAAAAAAAGTAGTTTGAAAAAAAGTTCAGACATAATCAAAAATGTATCAATAATTGATACCGTAAATTAAAGAAATTTCGATGATGACTAACTGTTTCTCTTAAATCTAAATAACTGCAAACAAATGCAAATTTGAGAAATTATTGTTTGCAAGTGAGCCGTGTTGGAAAGATTTTACCTTTACCACAGAAAAAGAAACCGGTGTTTCATGAGGTATTTTATAACCATAAGCTAATAAAATGCTAAATATAATATTGTTCACTGATTTTGATGTATATACAAAATAATGAAAAAAATATGAAAAACATGTTTAATAAAAATTCTGCGCCAGAGGGTTAAAATGCGAGTATTAAATAAAATTTAACATCCTTTGTATTTATTTATCTCTTTTTTTTATTTTTGAAAATCTACCTAAAAGTATGAGCGGAAAGCACTGCATAATTATACTTTTGCAGGAATTAATTAAGTATAATGAAAAATAAATATTTTTTTATCGTTAAGAAATGATTGTTTAATTTTGTTTTTGCGAATTATAATAAATAAATAACAGAATATTGAGTTTAAAAAAGTAAGAATGAATAAGGATTACAATTTTAACAATATCAGCAAAAAATATATTTCGATTTAAGCGAAAACTTAAGAAAACATAAAATTTAGTTTTTTGTTTTATGCTTACATTTTCCCCAAAATCAGACGTGGGCTACAGGATTAAGAGAGGTCTTCCAGCAAATGAATGCAGTGAGTCCTCAAGATAAGAGCTATATACCTTACAATCAAACTTCAAGGACCAGTTATTATTATTTTTCTTAAACCGGTTTCATTTTCAAGTATGCACATTGTTTTATTCTTTACTTGTCGTTAACGTTTGTGTTTTGGGGACATTTAATGAAAGTGAAACTTTGCAACCAAGTAATTCGCGTGGAACGATTAGTCGGAAGAAAGCATGATTTCAAGGAATCAGGTCCTAATTTGATTTCTCACTTATGCTTCAATTCACCAAGTGATTGCAGCAATTTATGCAAATAGGTTTTTACGTTTAAATTATTTATCACTTCCCAAATTAAAATTCATCTTTCCTGAATTACCTATCCAATGTAAAAACTGTTGTATATTTATTTATGTTTGAATTAGTGGCAATGGATTTGGAAGTAGTGCCCTTGAATGTTTTCAAATTTTAAACCACGCGAATGCGAATCAACCATTAATCATTGTCAAATCATTTTCCAATAAAATACATCTATATGCATACTAAATTAAATGTTTATAAAAAAAAGGAAATGTACTTTATATTTACATTATCAAATTCTAGTTATTAAATTCAAAAATAGTATTATTCATTGATATTTTAGTCACACTAAATCTAGTATTATGCCAATTTAGTCAATATTCAGAAGTAAATTTACGACTAATGATTGATTACACAAATGTACAAGTTCAAAAACGTTACATATGACAGGGGTTCACTGAAATGTTGTGACAAATTTCTAGGAGAGTTAGGGCACATCATCAGAATTAAAATTGCATTGAAATCTATGCCTCGAAGTGTCGTCATACGCCGCTGGAGGCGCTTCTCCAATTATGAACTGTTTATTTCGCGTGCTTCTTAACAAGTCATAATAAGAAAGCGCCTTTAGCCGAGTACGTTTCCTAGCATCTGTTCCTATGCAATTTTAATCCTGATGATAAGCCCTAACTCCCCTAGAAGTTTGCCGCTACATTAATCCGATCCTCTGTTATATATAACATTTTTAAACTTGTATATTTTGACAAAAATTAAACTTAAAATGTCATTTAAAAAAAAAAGAGTAGCTTTAGTAAAATTAATTTAACATTTATTTCAGATTTGAAATTCCCACACCCAAATTAGACAAGAACAAGTATTTATATAAATACAGCAAAAAAATTTTCCCAGTGTTATCTTAAGTTCTAATGAATAATTACTGAATTATTTCTGGCTAATCTGAGTAAATTGTAAGTCATAAGTATTTTAAGGTGTAGAAGAGAACCGCATAAAACCGGGCTCGTTAAGTATCTTCATCTGTTTTCCGCTCCTATTAAACTCCGTGAATAAAATTGCTTACATTTTCATTAGTATGACAGAATAGTTCATTGTCTTCAAAAATAAAGATTGTTTAATATAAAAAATTGTATTTTGGAGAGTGAATAAATCATTTTTTGGAAATATGATAAAAACCGGATTTATCCGACTTGCTAAATGAAAACCGGGTACATACAGAAATAATAGGGGGAAAAAACTTTTCCCCCCTTTGAAATATTAATTTATATCAACAATATAATATTATGACCTTTCTACGACACTGAAAAACTTACACGGGCTTCAAAATTAAGAATTATAAGGAATATACACTCTATAACAAAAAAATCGACGCACCAAGAAGGAGTTGCCCGATTGAAACGAAAATTGGTGGATAGAAAGACAATGTACAGAATAATAGATGATTAAAATTTCAGAACAATTGCATAATTTATTGCAGAGTTACAGTAACAAGTTCAATAAGGTGTTGACCTGCCTCTAGCCTGGATACAAGATGCCACAAGGCGTGGCATAGACCGATAAAGCTCCCGGTTGGTTTCTTGCGGTATTTCCTGCCAAATTCGATCCAATTTCAGAACGAGGTCATCAACATTCCG